CGGACGACTTTATAGAATCAGCGAACTAGCGCACGCCGAGTGGCAGAGGCATGGTCGGTGTCGCTGGGAGATTCGCCGCTATTTTCGCACATTTATTTAGGTATGCGTGTCACATAAAATTCCCTCGAGACAATGACCTAGAGAGACCGACTCTACGTGTTCCACCTTGTATCCGCTGGTTGGCCAATTCTTGAAAAGTCTTCGATTTTAAGGCTTTTTCAATCACGATGAGAAAGGAGTATGCGCCCCCAGACCACACGCTTGCCAAACAGAATTATCTTTTATATATGTAGAACAACTTTATTTTATATCACGTCTAAGATTGTAAAATGTAAAAGAGAAGAAAGCTTACGCATACCAAATGAAACTCATCCGCTGGACACGCGCACTTCGAAAGTTATACGACAGCAAAAACACCCAAGCGAAGCTGGTGCAGCGTTGCGGGCATATTAAAATCGGTAATTTAAATCGAGAATAATACGATCGAATCCGCCCCTTGCGAAGGAACTGAGCAAACGCGAGAAAACAAAAACAAAACGAAAAGGAGAGGAATAAACAAACAGGCGCCCCCAACTCTTCGGCATAATTGGGGAGGCTCTTGGAAGAGATTCCCCTCCGCGCACTACTCGAAAATTCCTCGCACAATGCACTCGAGGCGTTCAAACGCATCGTCAAACCTAACCCCCCCCCCCCCCTCTCTCTCTCTCTCTCGACCGATCCGGGAGAAGAGTAAAAAAACAACTAAAAAAAAACGGGAAAACGCTGCCTGCTTTCCAAATCGAACCGCACACGCCAAGATCACCCCCAGACCAAACGTTAAAAAAAAATTATAAAAAAAGAGAAGAGCAATCGAGTCGACATTAGAAACCTAAACATAAGCAAATAAACGAATAAATAAATAAATATTTGTGGAGTAGAGCCGGAGGCATCGACGAACGCGCAGTTTCGTGACTTCTGTCCGTAATTCAGGCGCGGCGCTCGTGGCTTCTTTGGGGGTTGGGTGCGTCGCAAGCGAGCCGTGACAGGGCATAGAGATTTAGGAGCGGGAGGCACTTGGGCGAGAGCCGCGCGTACACCTAATTCCCGCGCAGGCGACTCACGTCGCCGAGCGCCCTCGCGCATGCGGGGCGGTCGCAATGAGCACGCGTCTCGTTTGGCATGCACGCACGCACGGGAGCCTACCCCCGCCCCGTCCCCCATCCCCAAGTCGAGGGTTAAGAACGGCGCGAATACGTCACACTCGGCCGTTCATTTCGAAAGTCACAGTATGAACGCACATGCGTCGTACAAAAGCCGCAGGCGGGGTTCTAAGCACGTTTCCTTTCAACATGTATGTACGTATTCTTCGAACATGTCTGTAGTCAGTTTTTGTATGACTCAGAAGTGGACGCGTTCGCCGCACTAATCAACGGCCTTCCCTTTCATCACCTCACCCGCTTCTCTGAGCGTTAGTATGGTGGACGAGAACGTGATTCCGTGCCGAAAAAAAAAATTAGGTACAAAATAAAAGAGCGCAAAAGAGACGACGACAAGAGAGAAGGCAGGACAGGTGCCTGTCCTACCTACTCCCGTGTACTTGACTTTGTTGCGCTATTTATGTACCTAAATATCCACCAACTAGCCCAACAACGTGCTTTATTCGATAGACGCTAATCTAACGAGCACCTAGCTTCCACTGTAATGTCAGCTTAGGGGTGAACAGGGTGTAGAATACACGCCGCTTCCAATAAAAACAGCCAATGGATGGTCCCTGCAGAGGCGGCAAGGCATTCTGTGGAAGTGTCACTCGACAGTCGGCGGGGTGCCGTATAAAAAGGCAAACGCGGTGGTTATATTGTTTTGCGTGGCAAACAGCGATTGGCTGAGCGTGTGACCCGTCTACCGAATTGCTTCCAAGGCGAGCCCTCTGATTGACTTGGCGTAAGAGCTGTTTACAAAGGCATAATTTTAGTTGAAACGCACCACTATATACTGGGTAAATTCTTAAGTGATCGGACAATGGTAACTAGTAGACTGATTTTTACTGTAGAAGGCTGGATCGCGGATCGAGACTGGTCTCGCTGGGGTCGAGCCGCACCAGCGGCAGCCGTCGCTCGACACCAGCTAATGCAAGCGACTCTATGGGAGAAACGGGGAAAACTGCAATTTCTTACCTTAGTAGGTTGTTCTCGACGATGAAACTTTTACCTTGTCTTCCGGGAATGACAGTTAATATTCTAAGTGCAAACATCAAACGCGTTAGGATACCGATCTTTTTTATTATTAATAAATGTTTCGAGGTTTAGCTTGAGGGTTGCGACTTTGTTAGACGTAAATTTTAATGCCGTTCAATGAGAAAATGGTTGCCGAGAGTCAGTGTGGAGTCAATCGTGATCTCGAAGTAATCAGATCCATAGAGTTATTATAATGTACGGTATAGAGGTTCAACTGGCGCTAGTGTCTACGCGACTTACGGGAGGCAAATGGAAGCAGACAGGGACGAGTCTACTTTAGCGGTGCTCCTGTGCATTGCTTTAGGCAAACGCACGTGCATTTTGTATCTTCGCAGGGAAATAACGTGGAACACTTTTGTCCTTTGGGTCGTACCGAATAGTATGTACCTTTATGAACATCGTAAAAGTGTATTTGCTTTAGTTAGCGGATTTTTCTTCATCAGTGAACGATGTTAACTTCGCTATATTTCAGATCCAAACCTCTGTTCCACAGGAGGTGTGAACCTACACACCTCCTCTGGAGCAACTTAGACGCAATTCTGAAGGCACCGCGACCAACGGACGTGTCAGAACTTCGCTCCTACCTCGGCTTGATTACGTACTAAAGCAAGTTTCTACCAAACATGGCAACCCTGCCGTCCCCTCTGCACGAACTGCTTAACAAAGGGCATAAATAGCACTGGTCGAAACACGCAGATGGAGCTTTTGAACAAGGTAAGCTCAAGTTGAAACAGTCGCAGATTCTAGCACATTTCGACCTGGCGAAGCACCTTCGATTAAAATGTGACGCCTTCCCGTACGGCATCGGTGCGGTGCTATCAGTCAAGGATGGTAATGACTATCGACCGGTTGGGTTTCACTCACGTACCTTGTCGAAGACAAAGCGGAATTACGCGCACCTAGAAAAAGAGGGATTGGCTCTCGTATTGGGGGTCACAAAGTTCAGAGAACACTTGTAGGGCCGTGCATTTACTTTGGTGACGGACCTCTGGTGGGCATTTTTCACCAAAATCGAGCTGTCTCTCACACGGCGGCTGCAAGAATACAACGGTGGGCGTTGCTGTTAAGAGCCTACTCGTATCAGATAGTGTATCCGAAAAGAGAGCTGAACCAAAATCCGGATGCCCTCAGCAGATTGCCACAACCAGCAACAGAAGCGTCTTCTGAAGACTTGCAGGAGTATGTTATTGTCATGGAGGCCTTGGATGACTCTTTCACTCCTTCCATAGAACTCCGGCGATTGACTGCCGTGACCCCGTTCTTCGTCAGGTGATGAGGTTTATCCTGAAGGGCTGGCCAAGGAACAAGAAGAGGATCAGCAGCCAGCTAAGGCCGTTTTACAATCGAAGAGACGACATGACAGTGGCCCACGGGTTAGTTTACTGGGGGCAGAGGGTGGTGATCGCCGAACGCGCACGTGAGAGATTGTTGAAGCTTCTACATGGCACCCATGTTGGCGCATCGGGAATGAAAGCAGTCGCGAGAACCTTGCTCTCGTATTCGGGCCTAGACGAACACATTGAACAAGTGGCGCGGAGGTGTGTCGCATGCGCTAAGGTAGCGTCGCTACCACCTTCTCAAACACCGAAGCCTTGGCCAGAGACAAGACAGAAATTGTCTCGAGTTCACATCGAGTTTGCAGGCCCAGTAGATGGCTACATGTTACTCATAGTCGTAGATTCGCACAGTAAGCGGATAGAGGTGGCGATGTTATAGACGGCCACAGTGGAGTCTACCATATAGGCCTTGCGCGCGATATTTGCACGTTTCGGACTGCCCGGGACCGTATAGTTTCGGATAATGATTCTCAGTTTGTTAGTGCCGAGTTTCAGGATTTTGTTCGCGCAACAACGTCCTGCATATGCGCACGGCGCCTTATTTTCCCCAGTCGAATGGTTTGGCTGAGAGAGCCGTGAGAACAGTCAAAGAGGGTCTCAAGAAGTTGAAAGAGGGCAACATGCATACACGATTAGCTCGCTTCTTACACAGCTACAGCAGAACGTCAGGAAACGACGGGAAGACCCCATCGCAAAGATTACTGGGCTACACTACTCGTTCACGTATTGAAACTCTACTACATGTGGTGTTGCCAAACACTCAGGATGTTACAACCAACCCCTTCAAAGTAATTGCGGACAGCGACGTGATGGCAGGAGCATTCTCAGCACAGCTCGCACGTGTCGGTGATTCTTTCCATTTTGTTTACTTCTTTTATTCAAGCCTTCCTTTCTGGCAATAAACAAGTTTCCATCATGCTGCTACACGGGTCGGTCGTGTACACTTCATAGCGGTTCCCACGTTTTTTTCCCGTTGCATTTTACTCGTTAAGAAGGCGAAGTTCGCTTTCTTAAACTGTTGCCCAATTGCTTGCTACACAAGCATTGTTGAAGTTATAATAAAAGATGGTTATACAATAGCCCAATGCTAACATAATATAAGAGCAAACATATAAACTTCGACTTGGATGTTTGAAAAAGACGAACCTGGTTGGACGCCGAACCTCAGCAGGTTATTCACGACATCCCTAAAGCCACGATCACACTGCTCGTACTTCGTACAAAAGACAGTGACAGTGTCTGAGGTCTTCCTTGCAGGACATTCCTGACCCATTGATCGTACACACTGTCAACAGACATGTTCCAAGCATACATATGTGTGAAGTAAGCATGCTTCGGACATTTCTGAGGCGTCCCCGCAGATAATTCTGTCCTGTAGGACGTACGAACGGGCTGGCGGCGGCCTAATTCGGTCCCTGTGCCGAGCCTCTCTCTCTCCCTCTCCACTCACCCGTGCGGCCACTGGCGAGGACCCCGTCGGAGAGCGTCCACGAGACGGAGGCGTCGGTGCCTCGCTCCAGCGCGGCGCCGAACGTGAGCGCCGAGCCGACCCGGGCGACGTAGTACGGCCGGTCCAGGGACAGTCCGCGGGGGCTCCGCTGGACGTGGAGCCGCCGATCGATCACGCAGCTCACGTTGCCCAGCGGGTTGCTGGCCGTCACGGACACCCCGAACGCTCCTCCTGCGGTCCAAGAGCGCGGTCACTAACTCGCTTTGCATCGACCTATAGGACACAGCCTATAGTGTATACAGTGTAATACACGGGACGCGAACGAATCGTAATTCCGAGCATTTCTCCGGACCCGTTTCGGCTCCCGCATACACAAGATTCTGGGACATTCGCACCTCAGCCAAACCTTTAAAACAAATTTGATTGCAGCCCAGCAAGTGCGGCCATGGTTACATTCCCCTGAAGAACTGTAGACGGCAATAATACGATAGGAATTGATAAAAGAAAAAGGAAGCTCAGAAGTGTATATGGTCAGAAAGTGTTGCAAAATATCTTTTTGACGTATTGAAAAGCAATGAATGGCATACCGATCAAAGGACAGCCAAAGAGAACGTTCTTTATTCGGCGGGGAAACAAACAAACACGAGGAGCACAAGGTTCACACGAACTTGCTCGCAGCATACTTTCCTTGTCCAATATAGCACGGCATAATATCGTTTTCTTTTGTATCTCGCAGCATGCATCTAAAACTAAAATGCCAATGTGAATCACCCAACCCCATCCGGAGATATAGCGGCGACTGCAGCTTTCGGTGTGCCTCGGCGAAAAAGTAGATAACACTTTTTATAGGCTCAAACTGACGACGAAGCAAACATCGTAATTTGGCTCTACAGTCACCGACACGCTAAGAAATGCGGGTCGTGGTCAGTCCCAAGCATTTTATCATCGTGCCGCAGCTGAGCGCGATCCAAACCAACGCGTTTTTGTAAGCGCGTAGTACGTCGTGCACTTCTCGGAAATTGCGTATTTCATGATGTTTTTGCTGTTTCCGGCGCGCTTTATGAGTCACAAGCGTGCGCGTTGATCAGGACGGTGCGCTTTCGGGCGAGCTAGAGTTCCTCTATATAGCTACCTTTTATGGTAGCAGAGTTGCGCATAGGTCCGCCATCCTGCCCTCAAAACCATCCAGGTGTTTTGTAGGAAAGCCACACTCCTGTCTGCAGGAGTCGGGTATAGGCTCGGCGCAGCGCCGACGGTGAGCGCTCGTTCATTCTGCTTTATTTTTGGCAATCACATTACGCTTTTTATGAACGTGTAAATACATGTTCGTGTAAACACGAGCCTGCACACCACGCTCGTGCAAACAAATAAATATTTTAAATAAACAGTTTGCAAAAAGATTGCCGCAGTCGGCGGTGGCAGCGACGCACTCGTGCTCGGCGTTTTGGCCTCTCTGCAGCGCGTGGATGCTTTTTGAACATCGTGATCTCATTCGACGAATAGAGATGCGAGCGGCGTGCGGAAAGCATGATGCGCAACTCTGCTTCTCCTTTGGGGGAGCATATACAGGAACTCTAGGGCAAGCGGAGAGCATCTGCGCCAGACGGTGAAGAAACGTGGAAACGGAACTGGTGTTCCCTTCGATAGGCCGGGAGGTGATATGGGAGAAGAGCGCCCTACTACGTCACAGGAAGCCCACTATCTACGCGCGCACAAATAGGCGTTGGTTTGGATCGTGCTTTAGCTGCTCAGAATGCCCAAGAAGGAATTACGACGCAGACGGGCTGAACGCAAAAACCAACGCACTGTCCCTTGTAAGCCGCGGTTACATAGCTAATACAAAAGACAGTCCGATCTCAGGCTTGTTTCTTCCTTGTATTCAACGGGCCTGTCGCACTAATCTCTCTCTCACACACACACAAACACACGCACACACACAAACAAATAAACAAAATGGCTGCACGCATGTTTGAAGCAAATATGCTCGAGCCGTGTCCGCCGATAGCTCTGTCCTCGCGTCTGCGGCAAACGCCGTGTCTCTCGCGTGATGAACGAGGAGTGCGACTCGGTCGCGCTCCTCTTTCCTCGAGAGACGCGAATGATCCACGACGACTCCATATCCGCTCCTCGCGTAGCGGGCAATCGCGAAACTTCTCGGAACAAACTCGGCGGTCGAGGGTCCGGGCCATCCAATCAGGTCCAGTCGGCGCGTCCTCGCGGAGGCACCGAGAGAGAGGTCCCCGAAGAGGAGTCCCTCCCGAGAGCGGTGCCGCGCAGCTAGGACACTCGAGGGGAACCCTCGAAGGAAACCCGGGTCGGCGAAGATGACAAACGTCGGAGTCGTGACCTCAGAACGGCCACGGGGTCCCGGGAACATGGGCGCCGGCATTAACGGCAAATGGACACGGGAGGATCATCCATTTCCGGGGCGCAGAGCAATAACAGTCGGCGTAACTATGACTCCGCTCACTCCCCTACGCCGACAGTGCGACGGAAGTTGGGCGCTCGCTGGACCGGTCAAGCGTTTGTCTTCTGCCACGTGATCACGCTGCCGCACGTGCCCACGCGCACAGAGCGGGGTCAGGTGACGAAAGAGGGCCGGTTCATTGGTTCGGCGAGCGAGTAGGGCCAACACCACCTAGATAAGCAGAAGGCGTCCGCACCGGCATCACAGTCAGATCGATCGAGGCCTGCGATTGGGCACGAGTGCTGCGTCAGTGTTCGGCCAGGGCTCGTGTCCAATCAGTGCGTCGAAGGTCGGACTCGGGACACAATAGCCGAGTTAGCACGATCCGATTCTGGTGACGTTTCAAAAAGGGAGAGGAGGCCATGCGGAGGCTCTGATGCGCTGCAATCTCGGGTCTGGTCATTCCTTCTCTATCGTGTGTCCTCCATCCCCCACCCTCTCTTTCTTTTTCTCATCCAACAGTCCAGTAGCTCGGCCATGTTGATGCCCCCTCGCGCATCACGCTGTCCGACCAATTAAAACGATTGTACAGCTGGAATGTTTCCATGCTTAAGTCGTCCGTTTAAATTGTGAAAGTGTCGCTTTAGATTGGTATGAAGTTTGTGTTAAGTTTAAGTTTCATACAACAAAGGGCTAATAAAATGTAAGCTAAAAAGAAGGATCTTAATGACCAGCGTGTTTGCAGGAATTCGTGTTTGATTTTGGCGGTGCTGAAGAGAGCAAAAGCGCAGCAAAAACACACACACACACACAGACACACAAGCGCGCGCGCACGCACAAACACACACACACACAACAGGCTGTCTGCGGTGATAATCGGAGCCCAAAACAAAACATACAAAGAAAAAACAGAAACAAAACTTTTCTTGTCCGTCGGTCTTCTTTCCTTCGAATTTTGTTTATGGCTCTTCGGCTCAACGCGCGCAAACGTTCGATCTTTTATTAAAGAAATGTCGTCTTTTGCCGCTAATCTCGCTTCTATTCATTGCAAGCCACATCATTCGGCTTCGACGATAGGCGCAAGAGCTGAACTGCCGCTATGCAACCGCACGCAGGTGTCGGCATTTCTGACAAAGACGGATCGCACAAAACGCATGCATTGAGAATCGCCGAGCGCGCGAGGGAATAAAGCCGCCGCTTGATGGCGCCCTGCACAGGTCACGTGTCACTTTCCGCAGCGTTATCGGTGAAAATAGGAACACAAAGAGAAAACGAAGAGCGGAAAACGCAAAAACATCAAAGGAAAAAATAAAAAACGGTGCATTGCCAGGGGTGCGATGGGGAAGCGAAAGGCTTTATCGACGGATCTATCAAGAATTTATACGCCGAGAACGCGAGATCCCCGCTCAGCGTGAAATGCAGGAATTGCGGCGGCAGTCTCCTCTCCATTTCACCTTACGATGGACTGCAGAGAACGCTACGAACCATCGGAGCCAATCCAATACCGTGTGAGCGTTATGTGAGCTTTGAGAGACAGAGAGACAGAAGCGGCAAGCGAGACGCGCAGTCACGTGACATGTTCACAGCGCTGCGATTGGCTGCGATGGCTGATCGTAGCTTCCGCTGCGGTCCATCATGAGGTGAAACGGAATAGAGAGAGAACGGGAGGCCCGCCGCTTGCCAGCCGTGTTCGGCCTTTGTTCCGAGAGGAAATGAGACGGCTGGAAAAGATGGGGGGAATCGAGCTTTCGACGTGGATCTGCAAGATTTCGTGTCGAACGGCTGGAGGCTGCGGGAGTTGTTTGTGCGCCTGTGGCTTCAGTTGTGCGTTGCCCCTGCGTGCGGGGAAAACGACGAGGGCCGGCAGGAGGGTCTGAGGAGTAATTCCGCCGCAGCAGCGGTTGGGAGGCTCCGGCGTCGTATACTAAACAAAACGCACTCACTCGGCGGGCGCGCTTATCTTTCCAAATGAAACCTGAAGATTCTTACGAAGAAATCAAGAGCGTGTAGTGAAGTACGTCTAAACCCTCCAAGCGGCTTGCAGGGGGCGTTCGGACATGCAATGTCTGGAAGACACGAATGGTTCATGTAAAACCAACACAGAAAAGAGCAATAAGGATCGTCGATCTCTTTCGTGAACAAATATAAGGGCATCGCTAAGAAAGTCATAGATACGACAAAATGTGTTGCCGGCTTGGTCGCACTGCAGCCATCATGGCTTCGACAGTTGCGCCCTTTAGCGAACGTTCACCTGCTACTCCTCAGAAAGGACACCGAAGTGTCGTGCAAGTTCTATCAACGTATTGGGGCAAGCCTAACGATAACGTTTCTTCAACATTGGAAATGGTTCGTCCACAAAGCGACTAAAGGAAGCTTAATGCACAACCTGGCAGTCCTCATTAGCGAATGGCTGAAACGAGAAACGCTGCAGTATACTGCAAAACGTTGCATATATCAACCGTGCAACCAGAAGCCAAGAAAAAAGGAACTTCTGGCCAAGTGTAAGCATTGGCTCACCTCGAATTTTGAGGAGAAAATAAAACAAGAACCTAAATGTATTCTCTTTTTCTCTTTTGTGTGTAAGCACGAGTAACACGTCAAACGTTCATGGAAGATGAGAAATTCCAAGGACTAGGAGGTTCAAGAAAGATCGAGGAATCGGCGATTTTGCACACTATTCAATGATCACACCCTAGAAGCAGAGACCCATGCCCTCCTAAATACAAAACATTAACTTGAAGTACAAATGGCCGTTGAAATTGTACGCCAAAACCGAGGATATTCAAATATTTCGAAGGGATAAACAACGGACACCATCCGATCGTGCTGAGTCTGGGATCAGCGAAGCCTCAACTCGGGTACTTGACGGGGGTACGCACTCCACAAGTCCGAACGGCAAGCATTTGAATATCGATAAAAAAAGTGCCTTAGATATGTGTTTATCGACGTGATACTTACTGCATCAATCTTAATAAAAAGAGAGGTCAGTCCTCCTTAGGATATGGCCATTTGCCTTCGCCTCTGAAACAAACAGACCGACGCGTGCACGCGACTCGCACCTGGCAATCATAATTCACACATTGTGCGTATCATTCATAGGCTCGACTATGGCGATCTATTTGGAAACAATACATTAAACGTTCCATACGTTTGTCGAATACGGCAAGATACAAGCACAAAAAAAGGTAAAAAGAGATAAGAAGAAAAAGGAAAAGACCGCGCTACCTTTCATCCTCTTGTCTTTTTCGTAAGCAATCGAGAGTCTCAGTTCGTTTTTTGCAACAAAGACCATTTCGCTCACGTCTGAACCATGTTTCAGAAAAGTGTCCTGGTTTTAACTTTCTGCTCAAGCTACAATGTCAGACATTTAATTTTCTTTCTTTTTTTTTTTCTCTACCGTGTGCCTCACAGCTGCCTTACTGATCCGCAAACGTTTTCCTTCTGTGATTCTCTCTTTGGACTCATCGGTCTTGAAACGGAGCGCCGAATTCCACGAATGATGCGCCCACTGAAGTAAAGGTTGGCAGCGGCGCACGACGGCGGCAGATGTATACGCGTCGAATACCCCGCGAGCAACACACATCGCTGCTTCCTCTGATGGCCTCCCTCCCCCCCGCTGGCAACGCGAATGTGATACATAATATCCAATTTCAATCTCACACGGCCGCGAGTTCGTGACTAGAATGAAGGATCGCCAAAGAGGGGACGTGGCTGACAAGACGGTATGCGCGAACGGGAATGAAAGAATAAAAAAAGAGAAAGAAAGAAACCCACCTCTGGCGTAGCGATGGGCCACGATCGCTGTAGGCATCGACCTCTCGTTGAGCACGGCGTCGACACGTTCGATCTGGCCGTCCCCGAAGTCGAAGACAAACACGACGTCAGATCCTCTCCACACCCAGGCCTCGAACAACACTTCGTCACTCGTCTCGCACTCAACGCTCGTCGGCGACGTGTCACCCACAACCTTCGACGCTCCTGACACGTCATCGTTTCTTGCTGTTGACGGACTCAATGACCAGGAGTTGTCCTGGTACGCTGTGGGGGACACGGCCTCGTCGGATGGTGGGTGGTCGGAGACGGCGCCGTCACAGTCGTGGAGGAGGACGACGTAGCGGCCACCGACGACGTCCGCACGCAGTTTGTCGATGTCCTCGACGACTGTTATGGGAGGTTCCAGGCGAGCGGAGAGGTTGTGCTGCGACAGCACGTTTGACACGGACACGGTGACGCTGTACGTGCTTGCGATGCCGTAGACGTGACGAGCCACGCTGGTGCGGCCACGACTGCGAACGAGAAGGGGCGGGAGATGCGTTTACATTTTTAAATACAACAATGCAAAACTAAAAGCTTTTTTTTTTTTTTTTTTTATGACGTGTCATGTCTTGCAATGCGTTTCTGGCTTGCGATTCCGAAATAAAGATACAAGAAATCTTGCGATTCCTAAACAAACATTACAAGATGAATTGAACATTACCTAGTAATATAGAGATATCATGTCTCAAGGTCAATGCTTGAAGTCCAGTGACCAGGGAAAACGGGCAAGATGAACGCAGGAACTACGTTGATGTTTCATGTTTGCCTTTCCTCAAACTTGAAGGTAAAATATCTGTAAACCCAACATGTCTGTTTTTTTTGGTTTTTGTTTGAACTTTGTGTTCCGCACAATTCCAGCTCCAAATATGAACCTTTTTTCAATACACAAAATGAGCCAATTCAGATCTGAAAAGTTGGGAAAACTTGTCGCCGGCGAACCCACCAATGCCCGAGTCCCACTAGAGCGATAAACAGAAACAAACGACAGCGACAAGCCTCAAACCAGAGTTTTTCGCGATTTGACAGGCTTTGTAAAATAAAGGAGGCCATGCTCAAACACGAGCATCATGCATGCGAGGGTATCTTCAACAGGCTTCCAATGGGGGAGGGATCTGGTGTATAAAACGGGAAAGGGGGTTTAATGGCTATGCGAAATGTTATTCTCCAGGCAGGGAAAAGACTCGCATAGCCAAAGGGGAGAGGGAGGGAAAGATGTGGATTGAGATGGGTTAAATAAGATATCTTGGCAGTTACTAGGGGAAAGTCACTCGTGCGTACTTCACAAGCAATGAACGACTAAACGCCTGCCAAAGGTACCATCGCGAGCCTGCTGCATGTGTTTGGGGCTTGTCCGTGTCGGTTGTTTCTGTTTGTCGCTCTAGTGGGACTCGGGCACGTGGGCATAAGGGTGCGGCGTCTGTTGACAACCGCAACTCTTTGTCTGCCAGATTACGACACTTCGCCCAGAGAGACCCCCAGGGTTGAGATTAAAAGCCGAGTTGGCTAGATGTTTGTGTGCTATATAGCCAGCATTAATGTGCGGCTCTGATCAGTAATGCACTGTCCCCATAGCCATAACAGACCCACAGAGAAGCCTTTCTGGTCAAGGAGGTGCGCGTTATAAGGACAATCGTGGAATACTAAACACAGACTCGTAATTCATATATTTGCCACGGGGATTGTGGGCGCTGAGCATGTATTCACTCGTTTCTTTTTTCCCCCCTTGATCCAACCTACCTAAGACTCGTATTCTTCAAGCTGACTATATTTATGAAGCTATAAATTTCGTTTTATGTATAAGACTTTTTTTTTAAGCTACCTTGCATTTATGAATTTATTATTTCTGTTGCGTTAAGGGTTTGGGTGGGGGGGGGGGGGGCGAGTGGGGGCAGTGCATGATTAAAGAAGTCCAAATAAATACTACTACTACTCATGATATTATTAATAATAATAATATAATAATAATAATAATTATTATTATTATTATTATTATTATTATTATTATTATTATTATTATTATTATTATTATTATTATCATCATCATCTAGGAAGTGTCCGTTGGTGTGCACCAAACAGAGTATGGACCAACACGCGGCCCTGACGTCACGCAGCTGCGGTGGCGCTGTCGACGGCACTGTGCATGCGCAGATGCTTCACTCCTCCCGAATTCGGTTTGTGCGCACGCGCAGTGCCCACACCTGGTGTGGGCAAACGTGGGCTTGTTAGTAAACAGCGTGTCGGTCTATACGGATATCGAAGCTGGAAGGAACAACTTTAATAAACAATGTTTTTTTTTCCAAAAATACTGAAGTCGCTAAAGCCTGGGCCACACTTCTGATACATCATACAAAAGGCAGTCTGCAAACACGAGTCACCGCATTAACAGCGCTTCGAATGCCGCGTGCCATGTTTCCGCCTTGAACTCATTGCCATGCGGCATTCGAAGCACACACATCTTACGGTGACTCACGTTCGAATCTGCATACAGACGGTCTTTTGCGTGATGTATTGGCGGCGTTCGTGACCAAGAGCGTCCCTGGGATCGGTCTTCCACGAGTGGCCAAACGCTCGCCATGACGTCTTTAGTGTGATTATTTCGGCTCACATCGACGGAAATAAGATCATAGACTCTCAGCCCTGACGGTGTTGATTGAGGAACGTCATGCTTCCACTGCACCTTTTACGTATTGTCAAGCTTGTCGCCCTCTTCTAATAATCTTGGTCGTGACGTCAAGGATTGGAGCCGTAAGAGGACGCCGAACCGCAACTTGCGTCCCAAGCGACTTCCATTCGCTCCGTCTTTGCAAGCCCGTCGAGCTTGCTTATGTCACCAGTGCTAGAAAGCATAAGTGCTACACAGACAAAAAAGTTGGAGATCTAGCAAGGGCCTTCGGCTGTACGATTATGACGTATTGCGGGACACAAGTTCGAGAACTTTGAACAGAACTCCCGCTTCGAGGCTCTTTAGGCGTTCACCTGGAGAATTGGTTGTCAAATGTTTCATCGACGTTTCCAGCTGCAGTGTTCAAGTGGGATTTTTTTTTTTTTTTTTTTTTTTTATGAACCGGAAGTTTGTTGGGACATGAAAGGCTGGAGCACCGTCTGGTAGCGTTTGCAAAGAAAAGTGTATAAAAGCAATGAAAAAATGGTCAACGTGCAGGCGAGCTGGGGTGCATTAATCATGATGCTTAAGCCCTGAGATAGGGAAGGAAATTTGAAAATATATTATAAGAAACAGAAGACAAGGTTAGACGCAGGCATAAGGCTCGTGGCCAACGTCAGACGCCACTCTGAGGCTCCCAACGGCATTCTGTTCAGCCAGTGTCCACTGAGCTCCTCCAGCAGCTCCTAGTCCAGGACTGGACAGAAAGAGTGAATCTCTCACCTCTGGACCTGCGTGTCCTGCTCGTGCATTTCCCCCTCGCCGAAGTCCCAGCGGAATTTCAGGCCCGTGCCGGACTCCACAGTAGCCTCGACCACGACCTCCCGGAGCAGCGGCACCGGCGACGTCGGAGACAGCAGTCGGACGTTCAGACCAGACACGGGTTCTTGGACGACCACAACCGCGGACGCGGAGGTCCAACTGGCCGCGTTGGACGCCTTCAGCGAGGCGTGCTTGCTCCCGGTCTCGGTGTAGCGCCGATCGAATCTGAAGGTCCAAGGGTCGTGGAAGATGGTCCACCTCCGCTGCGAACCGTCGTCGAAGACCGCACGGATGTAGACCGGAGGTGTTCCGGTAACTGATACCTTGAAGGTTGCGTCTCCGCCGAGGGCCACGGGGACCGCCGAGAATTCAGAGATCTGGAACGAGAGAGCCCGGTACGACGGGTGAGAACCGAGAGAATTGGCTTGTTCCAAACACGCTGAACGCGTGCCTCCCGCAGCACGCATTTCGCACCACCGCATTTGTATTGCCCGGCAAGAACAAGTAGGAAAGACCGCCAGCACGGTGGCAGTGACGTCACGTGCAAGTCATGCATAGGGAAGGGCTCTCACCCGGACACAGCGCAGCACGGTGATGTTCCGCGAGCTATGCAGCTGTCGTCGTAAGTCACCGGGAGTCCCATAGCCAGGCATCGCAGTCACGGTCAGTGTGTGCGTTCCGGCACCCAGCGTCGCCGCCGAAAACTGCACGGCGAAAGAGGGAAAAGGAAAGGAAAAAAAAATAAGGAGAAAAACGGAGAGGAGAGTCAGTATGAGAGGTTCGTCGAGAGGCCCGTGGCACAAGAACAATAACAACAGCAACGCAGGAACATCGTGAGAAGGGCACTCCGACGTGACTCCACTGACAAGAAGCTGCCGCCGCCGACCTCAGGCGAGTCGCGCTCACATTCAAAATGGCGTCGCCCAGTGGCGGCGCGAGATATAACAACAACAACGGCAGCCGAATAAGCAACGGAATCGACGTGAGGGGGATACGGGGTGGAGAGAAAAAAAAAAGGGGAGGACACACTGGTGTCGCGTGTCAACGGCCAAGCGACTACTCCTTCCCCGGGCTTGTTGGGCAGTTACTCTGTTCCCTCGTTTGCTTTACTTGGAAGGATCGAAACGTAAAACTAGATTGGAGTGAAGCCAGGCGTTTCGCTATCGACCCCCGCGTGGTCTGCGCCGGCCGTTTGTTTATTTTTTCGCGCGCGATTTACAGATTGTGGAGCCGCATTTAGAAGTTGCAGTGTTTTGTTTTTGTTTGTTCTTAAAGCTACTTTTCTCTTGCCTCAGCCTCAGCCGATGTACTGGATTGCGATAGAGTGAGGTCCTATAGACCTTTCCATCGCTTACCACCCAAGTAAAGAAATGCCGAGTCACTGAGCTGTTGACGCATGCGCAGCGTCTTTTAATACCGCAGTGCAGAGCAACAAGCATGCTCAGAAGGCGTTCCATACAGCCCAGCAGACATTTGGATGGCAGCGCGCAGAAGGCAATTGTTGCAAAGGTCTCTAGAGCGACTTCTTGGGCGAAATGGACGTACCGAAAGGTTCCAGGATGCGCCAAGGCGCAGGGACCACGTATCTCTGTACACCGTCTCAGTGTACCGCAGAGGAAAGTGCAAGTAATGTTGCCGATTTGGCGCTTCACGCTTGACTCGAAGCTCCGCGCGTAGCTCGGCCAAAGAGAGAAAGTCACGCGTCACGCTACGTGTTACAGGCTGGCTTCGGCGCCTCGTTGGGCACCCATCGCGGTACATCGTAAGCTGAAGCTTCAAAGGGAGTATGGGCAATTTCCCATCGCGTGTTTTCGAACCTATACTTAGACGGCTGAGTCTATGGACCGCGCTGAGAGTATTTGTTCGCTCAAGAAAGCTGGCGAACGAACCTGGCGCGACAGCTTTCTGTTCTAGCCGCTAGGTACAGTCGACTTCGCAGAAGCCGCCTATAACGGAACGAGACAGTGCGTCTAGCAACGTTGTCTTCCCGAGGCAATGTTAAAGACAGCGGTCACACCGCACAAAACAGAGGCTACAGACACTGTCCGAGGTCCTAAAGAACTGTCTGCAGACATGTCCTAAATACGTATGAAGCAAACAGGCTTCGAGTATGCTTGGTGCGTGTCCGAAATGTAATCGAGTTTGTAACGAACGTCTTTTGTATGAATGCGGATTTACTGTACCCAAAGTAAGTAATAGGAGTGGTAAAACAACCCCAACTCTCCTAATCATTGTAAGAAAGATGCAGGGCACATCCGAAGAAGCAAACCGGTCAAGTGTGCGAGGATTCGCCGGCGCCAAGCGACCTCAAATACGTCGAATTAACGGGGCAGCTACTCGAGACAGCGGACGCACGAAAGCTCCAGCCAGAAAGGAGAGAAGGAGAAGGTAATCGAGAGAAAAGTAATAGACCAATCCAAGCGACGGAACTGTCAAGAACAGCCGTTCCAATATTATGCGTCGCAACCGGTCGGCTCAGAGGGGCCGACTTCACTCCGATCTCCTGTCCCCAACACACACGCACACGCACAAGCACACACACACGCACACACACTCACACACACACAGACACACAGGAAACGCGCGCCTTTCTTCTATTGACCTCGCTTTCGTTCTTGGGTCGAAGTTCTTTTCTGCCTCCGCAACCCGACATACTAAGAACTCCGTTGGACAAGAAAAAAAGAAAAAGACCGAACACAAAACCCCAATATGTCGAAGAAAGAAAACAAAAAAAAAAAGAAAAAAGAAGTTGGTGGGGAGCCATAAAAAAAAAAGATAGAATGAGAAGATGGGTGGATAAGACGAACAAGGAGCCGCTGAAATCCCGACTTCCATTTGGGCACGGTATTAATCTAATCACAGGCTGGACTGGGAACATAAAAGCCGGTCCCCGCGGGACGCCAGGTTGAGGAGGCTGCCTCCCTGGAACGCGCCCTAGGACGGTTGTCCTGGGGACGAAGGGACCGAGGCACACTGGACGCCGCGCCCTGATGCGAGACGCTGAGCTGACCGAGACAACGGCGATTGGTAGGCGTGTTCGGGTTACGTGCGCCCGTCGCACACGTAACGTCCCTCAAAAGCACCGTTCACGTGTCGCGGAACGTGGCTACTTGGAGCTTGCGGCTCGCTCTTGGATCTCCTTCAAGCGTGCGGTGTGTCATATAGATGTTGAAGCGAAACAATCGGTTTTCTTCGAAGCTGCTCGTGCGCACGCGTGGCGGTAGCAGACGCGGACGTTCGCCATTTTCGGTGGCGCTTACGGGAAGGTATCGCCGGTCGGTGGCGGTGTGGAGCCCGGGGTAAGGGAGCGTTCCAATTACAACAGGCCATCTGAGTTCGTTCGCGATAAAACTACAGGCGTAGTAGCCCGTTAAGGTTTCGAAGAAAGCCATGAGATGTGCTTTCGTGTTCGCCGATAGATGGCGCCGGACAATTGCGGAGAAGAACCATGGTGTGCGCGAACGCGCTATCCATCTACATATTTACGAATACACTCAAATATAGACAAACGCATGGTACGTTCCTATGCGCGCTCACACGACGTCGCACTCGCGCGCAATACGGATAAACCGACGAACCGCGAATTGCAAGCGAACAGTATACATACGGCAACGACGCATGAAAATTGCGTAGGGTGGGAGAAGGCAACCCATGGCAGCGAGTCGATAAGCGGGCGTCAAAAACAGTTATCCCCCTTCCCCTGCATGCCCACGCAAAGACACGTAGATACAGACAGAAACGCAAGGACACACACGCACACGCAATCATAAATCCAAATCCGCGTAAGAGCAACGGCGCAATGCGGCACCGATGACGGGACCCCCGACGTGATTCGGAAGTTCCGGATTCTGTTCTAAAGTGAAGATAGAGAGAGAAAGAGGGAGAGAGCGGTGCTCAGCGATGCAGGCAGCGCGCGACAGGGTGGGACGGAGTCCACGCGATCATTCGTCATCGTCAAGACCGGGAGGCGGGAGCCGAGTCCGATCCCCGCGGCGGCACGACGACCGTCGCATGTTCGCTTCCGGGGAACGTGTGCATCGGAAGCGTCAACTGTTTTTCCGATACCCGCGCCTCCGCGCGAGCAGCGAGCGCGTGAGCTTCGGCGGCGAATCGCACGCTCGTACACGCCGCGCTGATGCCTCGGCATCAACGATGTAACGACGTTCCCAAACTCAAATGTGACGGGCAGACAGCGGCGTCGACGACAATTTCTGCTGCGGAGTGACCCTCGTCGTGTGGGGCTTTAAAGCCGGGGCCGCACTGCTCATCTATCGTACAAAAGACAGTCTGCAAACACGAGTTACCGCAATATCTGTGGTTCGAATGCCGCGTCCCAAGTTTCTCCTTGAACGCGTTGCCATGCGGCATTCGAAGCACGGATCTCTCGCGGTGACTCGCGTTCGAATCTGTACGCAGACTGCCTTTTTGTGTTATGTGTAAGCAGTGTGAGACCCGTTAAAAGGGTTATCCATACAGTGGCGTTTGACCGCGTTGCGGCGACTTGCGTCGAAGTACGACTGCGAGTTACCGAGACATTCGTGTTTCGTTTGAACGACGTCAAACGATTCAGGAAGTAGCGTGGCACGCGGCCTACGACGTAGGGACTTTACGCTCGTATCGATACGCAACGATGTCAAACGCGGTCAGACGCAACTGTGTGAATGGGTTCATGGTCCCCTGAATGATGACAGTGCGTCTTACTTTTCCGCAAAGCACAGCGGTGCTGCGGGGAGACATATACGCCCCAATAGGTTATCGATGTGACATTGGAGACTGGAGATCACCTCGAGGGTATAGAAACGTGGTTGTAGCTAAACAAAAATATAAGGACAGGTGAATGCTGGCCAACGGCGAGCAACCGACGAACTTGTCCCGGTCGATCCTTCGTTTTGCGCGCGGCGGAACCGCAACCGTTCTGGAGTCGCGCGCGTAGCGAAGACCACCGCGCGAAATTCGTCGCTTTTTCGCAGCATATCCGCTTCACAGCGCAGCCTTTGATGGTTTATACCGGGCGTTCTCAGAAAAAATAACTGCATTTTTCGGGCCGCGGAAATTAACTATACATCGCAGGAAGCTAAAACTACCTGAGAATGTGACCCTAGTGGTTGGGACAAAATGCGAAACTGTGAGAACATGACGTAACCCGGATCAAATGATATTAGACAAATATCGAATTTTTCAATAAGCCGGCGTTTACCTAAGCCTGATATCGTAAAAACTAAAAATGGCATTCTCAATTACTTTAAAATTTGTCAGTAAAAAAGAGAGAGAAAAGAAAATTGCCAGCAAGTTAGGGGACAACGTTCTCTTTCTTGCTGCCAGGTGTTTTGTTTTTTCCCCCTTATTACACGTCCACAATGTCAGTTCAAGCGTGCACAATGTCAGTTCATGTTTTGACGATATTAGACTTAAGTGGACTTTGTTGGCTTATAAAAAAAGTCTCGTTTTTCCCCTTTTATCTTTTGACCCAGGTAACGTCATGTTCTCAAGCTTTACCGTTCCAACCCAACCGCCTGCGTCATATCCTCACGAAGTCTCAGGTTTCCTGCGCTATGTAGTTTGTTTACGCGGGTCAAAAACACGGATCTATTTTTCTCGCGGACAGCCAGTATATTTTTATTGATGCTTTCCCCGAGTCGTGCTTAAAAAACAAAAAGAAGGAAACCGTTTCCCGTAGTGAACAATAAACGGCCAGCACGCCAGG